GGGAGAGGGGGAGAGGGGGAGAGGGGGAGAGCTCCCAAGAGGTACCAATACGTCTGAAAACAACTGGAACTTTGTGGGTGAGGTCCTTGACTTCAGCAGAACAGGGTTAATTTGCACGGGAGGAATTTGAACAGATGTTTATCCTTCGAAAGAAATCCTGTAAAGAAAAGTGGTCTTTTTATACAACTGCTTCTTGGCAGAAAGCTACTAAATCCTCACCTCCATCTGTAGCAGAGCTGTACAAAAGACCGGGAAGAGGAGAAAAGGGGAAGGGCCCTGCTCCCAGCATTTATGCGCTGCCTGGCTGTGAGCGCCTTCCTGCTCTGCATGAGCCATTCTGGATCCCACTTCAGGCCACCCAGTTCTCCCTTTTCAGGGTTCTGGCATTTAAAGGAAATTGCTCAATGTGCCATGTGTTCCTCCCAGCACAGTCTCTCTCTATGCCTCTGGACTCAAGTAAAATAGATAGAAATAGCATTTCCCTAAGCCAGGGAAGTTTTTCAAGAACAGATACAGCAAAGGTCTTAAGTTATTTGGAAATTGTATGGGCACTATATAATTACTTTAGACAGAACAAGGTAACATTTTAAACAGGTACTTCTCCTACTAATATTTACATGTTGTAAAATACTTTTTACAGATACTTTCAGTAAAGAATAAATTATCTAAGCTTTTTATACCATCTTTTGTAATAAGCTATTAAATATTTTTTTAAAAACCTCTATTAAATATTTAAGAGGCTTAATTTCTCAGTTCTCAGTAATTTCTCATTTAAAATAAAGATAGCACATTTCTTAAAAGGCTTTTCTTCTGTAAAATAATTGGTAACAATGAAATAAGCATACACGCCATATCCTTCCCAAGGCACTTTGTCAGCCTAAGAGTTTAACCTACTCTACCATCAGCCCTATTAAACTATTATGTCCTAGTGAATAAAGCTGAATTGAGAGAAAAAGCAGAAAGCAACGCCTGCAATTTGTTAGCAGGGGAAAAAAAGAAATCCAGTCTATTGACCATATATACCTACACACACACACACACACACACATATATATGAAAAGCACAATTATGTGAGTTTGACTGAAAGTCATTAAAGCTGGAATCAAGAAAAGAGCAACAGCAAACACCTGCTTTATACACCAGTTTACTAACAGAGCCCATTTCAAGGTGAAACAAATGTAAATGTAACGGTTATTTAGCAATATGCCCACAACGACCTAATTATCCCACAGAAATACTTTGTTCCAGGCCCGCAGCCCTGAGGGCGAGCAGGCGGCCGCGACGGGCCTTGCCTGACCCCCCCACCCCACCCCACAGCCATCTCGGGGCCGCGCGTGGGGGAATCATTTTATCAGCGCGGAAGAACTTTGTTTTTGCCGCTGCTGGAGGGCATTTTGGAGAGGGGCACGGGGGAAGGGGGTCGCGCCTC